GGGCTGGTCAGAGGCGCCGGCGCGGGATGGTGGGGCTCAGCTTCGACTCCGTCGTCAGTTTCTGTGATGGGGAGACAAGGGATGAGGAGGTGTCAGGGACCCCAAAGCACCTTGCTACCCCTAGGCAGGGGCCCCCTGCCCCTCCTTTAGGGTAGGATGCCAGGGTCCCTGATGCAACCCCTTGGTGGCTGCTGTGCTGTCGTCCCCCCACCACATCCAGAGCCCCATGGCACCTGCAGCAGGCGGGCATGGTAGGTGGCTTCAGGCTCGGCAGGCAGGCGGGCGGGAGCCCCCCCAGACAGGTGGCGCCGACAGGCCACTTCCAGCTCCTGCAGCGAGTAGAGGGTGGCTGGGTCCAGCGTGTGCGTGTTGATCAGGCTCACCAGGTACTCCTTGTAGTGCGCCCTGCAGGGGGGGCCGGGCTCAGGGGTCCTGGGGAGGCTCGGACCCCCCAGACAGCCCAGACCCCCATATCTACCACACGATGCCCAGTGCTGTGGGTCAGGAGTGAAGGGCACCAGCAGGGCTGGGGGGTGACCCAGGCCCCCTTAGCCCTGGAGACAGGGCACTAGGGACCCTCAGACTGTTTCCTGTCCCCCCAAACCGCCCAGTGCACCCCGAGGGGCTGGGCCTGTGCCCCCCAACTCACTGGCACAGCCCCGCATGCCCAGGCGGTGTCTCCTTGCCACAGGCCTCATCCTGCAGCCCGGCTATTGTCTCCTTCTGCTCCATCACCCGGCACCCACCTGCGGGGGCAGAGGCAGGGGCCATGTGTTACCTACCATGCCAGGGGGCTACCCATAATCCTCTGGGGCAGCAGGAGCCCCCTCCTCTGAGGATACCCACAGTACCTGCCTACTAGAAGAGCCACCCCACCCCAAATGTTACCCACAATCCTTTGCAGCAGAACACCTCCCCCTCTTCCAGCCCGGTTACCCACAATCCTCTGCGGTGGGAAGACCACCCCTTCAAAAGGTACCCACAATGCCTTGCTGTGGGGAGCCCCCCCCCAGGGGTACCCACAATGCGGTGCTCACCTCCTGGGGCTGGGCGCGTCCCCGCTGGGGGGTCCGTGTTGAAGGCCACGCCATTCTCCTAGTAGGGGGGCAGGCAGGAGTGAGACCCATAGACGGGGCCCCCCGACTGCCCCCCTACTTTCCCATGCCCTCCCACCCACC